CCACTGAGCTAAATTCCCTGCCCTGGATTACGGTTTTGTTTACATCACTAGGTAGTTATTGAACAGGAAAGGCTGTTGTCCAGTTCTTTACTCAGATGTCCCTCAGCTTCTTCCTATTTTGACTTACTTTTTCCTCTTTTCTTCCTTTCTGAGCATTCCATCTGCCCAGCATGTCAGTATTACAATCCTTCCAGCTGCTACTAAAACCCCTCTCTTGAGAGTAGTAATGACCTCTTCCTGACAATCTCATTTCTTCTGTTTTTACCCTACCAATACTGTTCTAGCGTCAACATTTTGATTATTTGTTTTGTCTCTCCTACCTTTTCCTCATGACCATGGTAATTATTCAGAAAAAAAAAATCCAACAAATTCTTAGTCCTGTATAATTATCAAGCTGGTGTCAGTTTCTCCAGTAGAATCCACATGTATCTGGTTTTTATTGAATATTTCACCAAGAATAAAAAAGTTATTGCCAAATTAACTATATGTCAAAATCAGTGTTAGTTTCTTTAAAAAAATTGTAATGCTTAGTTTATTATTGTATATTAAAGTGTTTTTATGATTAGCATATAGGTTATTAGAAGAGTAGAAAATGAAACAATTCTCTAGGCATGTGTTTTCTGACTGGGACAGGGGCCTGTAACCAGTGCTAAAAACCCAGATAAAATTCCATCGCATGACCCTTTTTTTTTTTTGATACTGGGGACTGAACTTGGGTCCTTGCGCTTTCGAGGCAGGTGGCAGAACCACTGAGCTAAATCCCTGGCCCCTCGCATGACCCTCTTAAAACAACTATTTTATTTCTTTTCCCTTTGATTTTTGTATTCAGGCAGACTGTAGAGGTGACAAACTAGGGCCACTACTATTTGTAGATAGCTGACTTTGTTAATGATCCTAGATTTATCTAGGAGAGAAAGTGCTCCTTGTCCAATTAAGATTTGTAAGTAGCTTTCACATGACTTCCAGCACACTGAAAAGAGTGAAGCCAGATGAAAGAATTGAAAAGAGGTAGTGAGGGAAGAAATAACTGTAAGAGACATATTTCTTTTTATTTTGTTGCAGCAAGCGGGGAAGAACTTCTGTCACAAGTTCACTCTATGCCAATTTACAAAAGGAACCATGAAAACTAGCACTTTATGCTTAAAAATTGGGTCTCTGAAGAGGGACCAGTTGGGTCAGTTCCTCTGATAGCTGATACAGAGACTGCCTGGATAAGTAGCGTGTCTTCTTGAACTGGGTTTAGCACAGGACAGAATCCTGTCTGGCACTGAGGGGAAGGGCATTCCTATGGCCTAGTGTGTCTCAGTCTGTGAGCATGTCTTGGAGACACCCACGGTGATGGGTTGGTCAGTAGCCTCCAGGTAGCTGCTGTGTTGCCTGCAGGACTCAGCCCTGAGGAAGGAAGAGGCTGATGCTCTACTATGGTTACCTTGTACGAGTCAGGACACCACCTTTCTTTTAAGAATGAAGCAGGGTTTCTTAGGAGCTTCCTGTACTTACCCAGTATTTACAAAGAAGTTAGGTCATTGTGCTTTGCAATCTTGTTAAAAAAACAAAAAGGATCCAATTGTAATTGCAAAAGAGAGAATTAAGGTTAACTATGAATTTCCTGCTTCTCATGGAATTAAATTTTCCCTCTTACCATTAAGTTACTGTGATTTTTCCCTCACATAATTTGAACATAAATTATCAGGCAAATATGAGCTAAGTCAGTATGGGGAATAAGGAGATAATGAAGTAAAAATCATTAAGAAGTTATAATTACAATACTTGGATTTTTCTTTTTTTTTTTTTTTTGGTACCGGAGTTCGAACTTAGGACCTTGCGCTTGCAAGGCAGGCAGCGGAACCACTGAGCTAAATCCCTGGCCCGATACTTGGATTTTTTTTTCTATTAACTTTATTGATACATTTTAGATATTAAATTCAGTTACATTCATCATTGGGATCGTATCTTTACATGATGTATCTTGGTTCTTATTTTTTTTTTCCTTCCCCTGCCCTCCCTTCACCCCCTCCACCCTTCTCTATTTGCAAAGACTTTGTTTCCATTTTTTCCTTTTCTCATATTTTTTTCCCTTCTTTCCTTTCCCCTACCCCTCCCACTTCCCCTACTCCTTTAGACCTTTTCTTCCTATTATACAATATCAATTATACATTTTTTAAATTACAATATCAAAATTTAGAGGACATTACCACAGATTTTACAGAATTTAAAAAGATATAGAAAGCATATTACAAAAATCCTTTCTGAAATAAATTTGACAACTTCTAAGAAGTACCTTGGAAGACAAATTAATGAAACTGACTCTGGAGGAAATATAAAATTTGAATAGCACCTATTAAAGAGAGTATATTCCTAGCTTGAAAACCTACCCATATGACAACAACAGGCTCATATACATTTTAACTGATGAATTATATCAAACATTTAAAGCAGAAAAAAGAAGGAACACTTCTCCCCTCATTTTAGGAAATCAACGTTGTGCTAATCCTAAAACTGGATAAAGATAATAGAAGAAAAAAAAGTATGAACATAGATAAAAATTTGTTTAACAAAACAAACTAGTAGGAGTCAGATCTGGCAGTATGTAGAAAGTGGTTTTATTATAGGGATGGCAGTGTTGCTTAAGCATTGGAAGATCCAACCCATAAGTCATCCTTTTAACACAGGAAAGGAAAAAGCCATATGATCCTGTCAGTAGTTGCAGAAAAAGTCCAATACTTGGATTTTTAAGAAGCAAAAATCTTGTCAATAAATTAGTGAAAAAGTAATCTACAAAAATAATGCACTAATATATTGAATTTACAGCAAAGTCTATTAATAGATTGTGATAAATGAATTTCTAATTCAACATTTTACAAAATAATTTTTAAAATAATAAAAATAATGACACCAACAACCTAAGTAAATGCAATTTTTTGCATTCTAAATACTACTTCTGGGCTGGGGATTTAGCTCAGGGTTTTCGCCGCCTGCCTTGCAAGCTCAAGGACCTGAGTTTGATCCCCGGTACCAAAAAATAAAAAATAAAAATAAAAAAATAAATAAATACTACTTCTGTTTCCTTAGTATTTTTCTCCACATATCTCTATGAAAGATGCATTTGTAAGGCATTGATTAATTTGGGGTTGTCCTGTCCCCCACATATTCTCTTTGCAATCTGTTCTTTAAATATTAGTTTTGTTATTGCGTTGTTTACTTTAAGTGAAAAAGTAAAGTCTTAGAAAGGGAACAGGGGTTAGAAGAAGTAAATCTTTCATCGGTGCTCTGATTAGGGAGACTTTGCCTCTGGAAGATAGGAACCAAAACTACCCATGAACATAAAGAAATGGGACAGCCAGTTTTGCTAGTGTAGGGATGGCTCTACTTCAACGTGATGATACAAAAAGAACACCTTGTACAAATTGTGTGCAGGTTCTTATTTCCCTGTAATTTCATCTGTTTTGTAACAGGAAGATCGCTATTGCTGCTTCCATCTTACACTCAGTTACGTGGGTCTCATCAAACCTTTGGGGGACCCTGTTTGCAGCCTTGTATCTACTGCAAGTGGCTCTTATTTGGCATATGTATATTTGGTCATCTGGGCTTATCCTTTAAAGGACCTGTTTTGAAATACTGTTTTCCACTTTTTAAAACTTCAAGTGTGGATTTTTTTTATTATTCAATACCAAGTTCTAAGAAAGTTAAATATTGTTCTTGTTTTGTTTCATGTTTGATAGTTATCCAAAATATATCTTATCCATCATTCAGATGATGAATAGTTGAAGTTAGAGTTACCTATTTAGCAAATAAAAACAGGGCAGAAAATACAGTTATATTTGAATTTCAGATAAACAATGCACAGTTTTTCAGTGTATTCCTATTCCCAGTTTAGCTGAGTGTCCCGTATTTTATCTGACAATACCAGTTAAGACGAAATCAAATTCCAGGATTAGATGGACTGGAAAGTTGGGTCACAGTACTCAAGGTACAAATTAAATATAAATGAACATGTATATTTGAATCTTTTTTAGGTCTTATGGTACTCTAGTTATGTATTAAGCCCTTACCTTTTGGATATATTTACTAAAACATTTATTGATGAAATTGTGTAATGCTTGGGATTTTCTTCTAAATAATACAGGAATCAAGGAAGTAGATTGGAGAAAACTGGCTGTGTGTTGATAGGTATATGACAGTTAATTGTCTTATTTGGTCTACTTTTGAAATTTACCCTAAGAAATTTGTGTGTGTGTGTGTGTGTGTGTGTGTGTGTGTGTGTGTGTGTGTAGGTCATGCCTTTAGGTTAAAAAAATTCCATCATTAGGCCTGGGATTTTTTTTTTTTTGGTACTGGGGATTGAACTCGGGAACTTGTGCTTGCGAGTTCGATCCCCAGTACCAAAAAAACCCCCCCAAAAAACCACAAAAAAATTCCATCATGTAAGCATCTCAGATGTCTAGCAACTGAGGACTTATAAAGTAGTAGAGGAGAGGAGGCTGCACATGGAGGCAGGGCTTCTGGACCAGGTTGGAAATTGTGGGCATCTTTGTTCCTATTTGTCATCTTGATTTTTGTCTCTATCTTTCCATGGAACAATGCAAGAGATTTGCCCAGTTAGTCACTACCAGCCAGGAGTTCAGATTGTTCAGGAGGATATCTGGGGAAGCTCATGAAAAGGAGAGCCAGGATAAGTAGAAAGAGATGATGCTTTATACTATGGCGAGCCTTTCAAAAATAGCTAAACATGAAGTGAAGCAAACTGTTGGGTTAGGTCAAAATAACAAACATTACATTTTTCAATTTGTTCATGGTTTTTCCAAAACAAATCTCTCTAAGTGATTGGATTGAAGCCCTGGAAAATTAATAAATTGAGTAAACAGTCTAATAAGTCAATATAGGTTCAGCTCCCCTAGCAGGTGAGCCATCAACAGATGGGAATACTCAGTCTCTGGCATTATTCCAGGAAGTTATTTATTGATGGACATATTTAATGGTTTTCTTTTTTCTTATTCCAGGATTTTCTTCAAATGCTGTTGGAGAACATCCCAGAAGAAAAAAGGTGAGGACCAATTTAGGAATTAAGTGTCCAGTTTTACTTACAGTGCTGAAAAGAACCCTACCAATTTGGGTTATTACAATGTAGAAAGTTCAATCTTTCTTAAGAGAGGCAGGGTCCTAGCTCAGCCAGTGGAATCACAGGACAATCAGCCTGTCTTTGGGACAGGTCCAAGTGGATATTGGTGGCCGGCGTACACAACCAAATGTCCCCAGAGTCAGGAGCCCTGAATGAAGTACAGGAAGAGATCCTGGCACAGTCTGTGACCTCAGCTGCTGTAAGAAAGAATGGAAGAGAAAAATGTTCTAAAATCTAGGGCAGCTCCAGTAGTTTAATATAAGGAAAGACTGTTTAATTGAAGGTGAAAATGCAATGTAGTAATAAGAACTTAGGATGTAAAGTCGGGTTCTCATAAGTTCTAAATCCAGATCTGCTATTTCCTAACTATGAAAATTGGAACAAGTCACTTAATCCCTCCACATTTCAGTTTTTTACCCTCATTAGCAGGGTCTTAGGGAAGATTAAAAGAGCTGACATCTGTTTAAAAAGTAAGCACTCAATTAATGACTGCTACACTACAGTGACATAATCAAATTCTGTGTACCAGGCACTATACACAGGATCTACACACAGTTATCATTCAGCCCTCATAACAGCATTCATCATCACATCATTCGCATAGGCATTATTATAAACCAGCATTTATTGAGAGTTTACTTTATGAATATACTCATTTAATACTCAAATTGATGGTTTTTGGTATATTATGGTTTTATTCCTATTTTACTGAGAACTGAGGTACCCAGAGGCTGCGTACTCAACCTGAGTGTCATGGCTCTCTGTGGTAGGGCTGGGATTTGAGCCCATGCAGATTTGTATCTGCTGTTAAAGTTGGGTAAATTTCTGTGAGGTTCATAGAAGCTAACTTTCCAAAATTGCTTAGCAAGTAAGATGGCACATATTGAAATTAGATTTGTATGGCCTTATCCCATGCCCTTCTCAGAATACTCCTTAGCATGGGGCTCACTGCCCTGGAAATAGAGGAGATTCTCATCCTTGGAAATGTTCAATTTTAGGTTGCCCGGCTCCCTACAGGGTTTGTAGAGAAGACTTAGGACTTTTCTTATAGGCGGACTAGGTTAATCCCAGTTAGATTCAAACTTCCTATGTTAACTTGGACCCTAAAAGTAAATACCTTGAAACATAGTTTCTTATAGCAAAATTAATATTCATACATTAAAGGGGGACATCTTAATTATTTCTTTGAAGACAGGATCCTGCTTTCTTTTGGTTTTTTCTCCCCATCAGGAATTTGTTCCTGTATATATCTTAATTCTTCTTCTTTTATTCCATTCCCCTCCCTTTCCTTCAACCCTTCTTCCCCTCCTGTTTTACAGAAGCTTTCTTTCCATTTTTTTCTTCTGTTCTCTTTCATTTATCCTTTTCCTTTCTGTCTCTTCCCTCTCCCTTGTTCCCCTTCCCTTTTGAACATGTTCTTCCTATTTCCCAATATCTGTCCTTCATTATGTTCCTTCTTTATCCTTTAGGTTTACCATACAAGAGAAACAATGCAATATTTAAACTTATGTGTTCATTTTATTTAACTTAAGATTATGGTTTCGAGCTGTATCCTTTTTCCTACAAATGACTGAAGTTTATCTTTCTTTATGGTAGAGTAGTACTGCATTGTATATAAATACCACATTTTCTTTACCCATTCATCTGTTGATGGGTATATGGGGTGTTTCCAAGATTTAGCTATTATAAATTGTGCTGCTGTAAACATGGGTATGCATATATTACTGTGGCATGATGCTTTTTACGCTTTCAGGAAGATACCTAGGAAGGGAACAACTGGGTCAAATGGAACCTCTAATTTTGTTTTTTTGGGGACTCCCCAACCTGATTTCCATAGTGGTTGTACCAGTTTACACTCCCACCAGCAATGGAGAAGGGTTCCTTTTCTCCCACAGCCTTGTCAGCATTTTTTATTCATTGATTTCTTGATAATAGTCATTCTTTCTGGAGTGAGATGGAATCTCAGTACTGTTTTAATTTGCATTTCTTGAATGACCAGTGATGTGGAGCATTTTTTTCATATATTTATTTGCTGTTTGTACCTTTTCATCTGAGAAATGTCTATTCATTTCAGATGCCCATTTTTGGACTGGATCTTTAAATTGGGGAGATTTTAATTTTTTGAGTTCTTTATATATTTTAGATGTTGGTCCTTTGAGGAATAACTGGTAAAAAATTTTTTCCATCCTGTGGGTTGTCTCTTCTTTCTGTTGCTGGTTTCTTTTGCTGTACAAATGCTTTTAATTTGATGTTATCTCAGTTGTTGATTGTAATATTTCCTGTATGATTGGGGTTTTATTCATGAAGTCTTTGCCTGTATCTGTGTCTTCCAGAATTTTACCTATTCTATATTCCAGCAGATATAGTGTTTCTGTTTTTATATTTAGATCATCAATCCATCTCGACTTTAGTTTAGTGCATGTGAGAGATATGGGTCTAGGTTCAATTTTCGGCATGTGGAAAGCCAGATTTCCCAGCACCATTTATTAAAGAGTCTGTCTTTCTTCCAGTGAAGGTATTTGGCCCCTTTGTTGATGATAAAGTAGCTGAGTGTGCTTGAAGTTGTTTCTGCATCTTCTGTTCTATTCCATTGATCCTCAGGTCTGTTTTATTTCTTGCCAGTACCATGCTCTTTTTATCATGGTAGCTTTGTAGTATAGCTTCAAATCAGGGATTCTGATGCTTCCAGCCTTACTCTTGTTGCCCAGAATTTCTCTATGTCTCTTCTGGTTCCAGTATGCATTGATACTTTGATTGAGATTGCATTAAATCTGTATAACAGTTTTGCAATTATGGCCATTTTTACTATATTTGTTCTGTTTATCCAAGAACAGGGGATATCTTTCCATTTTCTGATAGCCTCTTCAATTTCCTTTTTCAGAAGTTTTCAATGTATAGGTCTTTCACTTCCTTTGTTAGATTGATTCCTAAGTATTTCACTTTTTCTTGATGTATTGTGAAAGATGCTATTTCCCTAATTTCTCTTTCAGGGAGTTTGTTATTCATATACAGGAATGCTGTGATTTTTGAATGTTGACTTTGTATCCTTCTATGGTGTCGAATTTGGTTATTAGTTCTAGAAATCTTTTGGTGGAGATTTTGGGGTCTTCTATGTAGAGTATCATGTCATCAACAAATAATGATAATTTAACTTCTTCCTTTTCTGTCCATATTCTTTTTATTTTATTCTCTTGTCTAATTGCTCTGGCTAATGTTCCCAGAATTATATTGAATAAGATTGGTGACAGTGAGCGTCTTTGTCTCATTCCTGATTTTAGAGTGAAACCATTCAGTTTTTGTCCATTTAGTATGATATTGGCTGTTGGTTTGTCATAGATGGCTTTTATCAGATTGAGATAAATACCATCTATTCCAGTTTTCTGTAGGGTTTTTTTAAAATCATAAATAGATGTTGGATTTTGTCAGATGCTTTTCTGCATCTCTTGAGATGATCATTTGTTTTTTTGCCCTTGGTTCTGTTAATGTGGTGTATTAAATTTGTTGATTTGCAGATATCGAACAATCCCTGAATCCCTAGGGTAAGTCCCCATTGGTCATGGTATATAATACTTTTGATGATTTGCTGCATTCTGTTTGGCAGGATCTTACTGAGGATTTTTATTCATTAAGAGGATTGGCCTGTAGTTCTCTTTTGCTTGGATTCTTCTCCGGTTTGGGTATCAGGGTAATGCTTTCTTCCAGGAATAACTTTGGGAGTATTGCTTCTCTTTCAATTTCATTAAAGGGTTTGAGAAATAGTGACAGTAGATCTTCTCTAAAATTCTTGTAGAAATCAGTAGTGAATCTGTCAAGACCTGGGCTTTTCTTTTTTATTTTTTTTTTATTACTTCTTCAATTTAATTGACTGATACTGGGTTGTTTAGAATTTTTATATCTTTTTGATTCACCTTTCATAATTTGTATGTGTCTAGGAACCTGTCCATTTCTTCTAAGTTTTCCATCGTATTAGAGTATATATTCTCAAAGTAGGTATTAATGATCTTCTGGATTTCTGCAGAATCTATTGTCATTTCACCCTTTTCACTCCTAATTGCATGGATTTGGGTCTTTTCTTTCCTTTTTTGGATAAGGTTGGCTAAGGGTTTGTTTATTTTATTTAATTTTTCAAAGAACCAACTCTTTAATTCATTGATTCTTTGTATTATTTTCTTAGTCTCAATTGCATTAATTTCTTCTCTGATTTTTATAATTTCCTCCCTCTTACATGCTTTGGATTTAACTTGCTTTTCTTTTTCTAGAACCTTGAAGTTCAACATTAGGTTATTTATTTGAGCTTGCTCTTTTTCTAACATATAAATTTCTCTCATAGGACTGCTTTCATTGTGTCCCATAAGTTCTGATATGTCATATTGGCATTATCTTTTAACTATAGAAACTGTCTAATTTCTTCTTTAATTTCATCTGTGATTCATTGGTTGTTGAGGAGGGTAATATTTAATTTCCATGTATTTATGTAGTTTTGTGGTTTCTTTTGCCATTGATTTTCAATTTCATTGCACTATGATCTGATAATATGCATGAGATAATTTCAATTTCTTTATATTTACTTAAGCATATTCTATGAGCTAATATGTCTATTTTGGAGAAAGCTCTGTGTGCTACTGAGAAAAATGTGTATTCTATTGTTGAGTAGAACACTCTGTAGATATCTACTAAGTCCATTTGTTCAAAGGTTTTGTTCACCTCTAATACTTATTTTGATTTTTTGTCTAGTCTGTTTGTGACAGTGGGGTATTGATATCCCCTATTACAATTGTATTAGTGCTTGTCTGATTCTTTACATCTATTAGTGTTTGTTTTATATAGTTGGTTTTATTTGGTGCATACATATTTATGGTTGTTATCTCTTCCTCTTGGATTGTTTTTGTAACAAGTATGTAGTGACCTTCTTTGTCTCTTTTGAT